AATGTATTGGGGGGGGGGTTGGAGTTGCCTTCTGCTTGTTCTTGGGGTTCTCTGGGTACACAAAGTTAGTGTTTAATTGTATCGTTGATGTGAGGACCCTTCCTGTTGTTCGCACCCGTGGTGCAATAGGCGAGTTACTTGTATCTTTTTTCTTCTTGGCCTGCTTCGGCAAGTTATGAAGAACAATTTTCGGTAACAACAAGTTTGTAAATCGTATAGAGTTACTTATTATTATAGAAATTTGTTGATACCTTTTGTTGGGGGGACGATGCCTGTGTCATGCCATGTTTTTTGTTGGACTTATCCTAACACCAGGTGTGTCGACTTGCAACGACCCCTTAAGGTTTGTTTTTCTTGCCTTCAAACATTATTGATTTACTAGCATGCACAAATGTTAAAACTTAAAATAGTTAGTTCATGATAACTGATAGTTGTACTTCACAACTCGTACCTGAATTTCTTTTGTTAATATGATTAAATGTTCATTCATTGATTTAAGCTGCAACTAGACATCCGCCATTTCTGTTGTATGTGCCTTAGTATTATCCTACGTGGAAAAATAATAAGAAAACAACTTTCAATTTTTTAGAAAAACAATTCAGTATGTACCATGTTACTTGGTTGGTTGGCATCTGTTCCAGAGTGATCTTCAGTGGTATACTCTTTGGTGGCCTCGATAGGGATCTTGATATCATTCACAATCTATGTTCGAACATGTGTACAAATTGTTAATACTAGACATTGTCCTAATTATGTGTACAAAAATTACAACACACGAATTACCTATCCTACTCCATACATGATTTTTTCACGTTTTCTGGCCTTCTTCTCATCCTAGCATTGTATCAGTGGTCTGACACGTCCGATGTAATCTTTGGAAGGATCTATGTGACTCACTCGAAACTTCTCCCAGTACCAAAGCTGCAAGAAAAATTTTTAAAAAAATTTTGTAGTCACATCATACAAACTTAAACCATAACTTGAATTGAAATTACACCTACCAGTAGAAGAATTTGGTTGCCCTTAAGATTGACCTTATCATGCTGGAAACTGACGATAGACCTCTTGAGATGGTTTAGGGTTAAGCTAGCCTAGTTGGTTCTCTTTATATCTGGTATATTTATGAGCAGATTTAGGTAATCTGAATGGACAAATCTCTCAGTTGTAGGACATAGGATCAGACCAATTGTATATAGCACAAACTGCCTTTTAAAGTGATCGTCACAAGATTTGTTCAAATTCAATGAATCCTGCAAGGCTGACAGAGTTATCTTATTCCCCTTTTGTCTTTATATAATGCAAACAAAGCGGCCTTTGTTGTCTGTAGAGCTTTGTTTTCATCTTTGTCCTTTGGGGCATCAACGTCAGCTTGGATTGCTTGTGGGACTTCAACCAGTTCAGCACCTTCCGATGGCACGCCGAGTATGTGATCCACATCTTCAATGGTTATCTCCAGCATGGTTCCATTTATATTGAAAGCTCTAGTCTACTCGTCATATTGCCTAGCAATTTGCTTGCAGAAAAGCCGGCGAATCTGGACTCCATTCATTTTTGTTAAGCCCCCAAAACCTAGATCATCTCTGGCTTGCAGCTGTTCTTTGTCCAAAGTCTGTATGAATTTCCAGTAGGCTACTTGTGAGCATACTTGTGTTCCCTGCAATAATAAACATCACAATTTAGTTCATTATTGCATAGAGAGCGATCGTTAAGTCGAAAGAATAGTTGCTCACCGGTTTGTTGGCTCGAATATTATTCCTAGTCATTCTCGGTGGCGGCTCATAGTTGGGTATCATCGAGGATTATATTCTGTGATGCGATTGGAATAATTAAATCATTTAAAAACATTTAAATAGTAATGCATGCATTAATACAATGTTAATTAAGAGATGAAGTATGGCGGTTGCTGATGAGCCATTACTTCAGCAACTACGAAAATTCAAAATCTAAAATAAGACCAAGGGTTTACTTTCTAACTATGAAAATTCAAAAGCGTAGAACAGGGACTGGTTCTGGAGAATTAATTCGGTCATATATTAACAGTGGTTTAATTTCTAGTTTGTTGTGTACAACATGCCACGAATTGTAAATAATTACAGCCACAACAACCATCTACCTCGTGTAATTTGTGTGAATGTAATTAGCATAATAAGTAAATAAGTAGGTGATGTTTCCTGGACACTTCCTGTGGTTTATATGTAGTACATCGTCATTTAACTTGATCCATTTCCATGCACGCGAATGACACACAAGTCCGTCCAACAATGTGATTAAGTATGGTAATTAACTAGGAGTAATCATACATAGTTATATAGTTCATCCCCACTAAACGTAGTTAATGCAATTTCTCACTTATCTCATTAAGCCACATCACCCCTAATTATTTCTAACCTTTGGATGATAGATCTATGGTCCAAATTGTCTCTTCTTCCTTCTCTCTTAAAAACATGCCATCTCAATTATTTTTAATCTCAAAATTGTATCAAACTGTTTTTGTTTTGATAATCAAATTACATCTTATTTGTATATATTACGCAACTTAATTTTCTACAGTAACGCGGCGGGGTAATCATCTAGTTAAAAATGAAGAGAAGACTAACCTTGAGTTAAAGCCACATGTAGATCCTTCCGGGGTGGAGGTGTCGCTGGTCGTCGCAACGGCGTTTCTCTGGAAGAAAGCCACCTGGCGACGCCGCAACGGCGTTTGTCTGGAAGAAATCCAATATTATGGTTAATGACGGCGGCACTGACGGCGTAATCATTAGGGTGACAAAGTATTGCATGCGTCAGGTGTTGGGACTCCTGAACTACAGGCCCAATCGTTTCAGATATTCACGGTTGATTTATTGATTTTTTTAAAGGTGATACGGATAAATTGTGTGTAAAAAAAGCTAGAGTGGGTCCAACTACAGACTAAGTTCTAGGAAATTACGTTCGGACACCAATCATGTCCTAAAATAATATATGTCAAAATAATATATGAGCGATCGACCGGAAAACTATAGTTTTTAAAAATTGACCCGGTCCGGACGGTCGTGGACTTAACTTTTTATTTGTCAAAAAAAAAACCGTTTGACTATAATGTATGCACGCTCGAGCGAAAATCGACAATTTTCAATATTCGACCCGGTCCAGACTGACCCGAACTTATTCTTTTCTGTAAAAAATAAAAACGTTCTGCTATAATATATGCGCGCTCAACTGAAAATCAATGATTTTTAATATTCGACCTGGTCCGCACTGACCCGAACTTATTCTTTTCTGTCCAAAATAAACCGTTCGGCTATAATATATGCGCGCTCGACCGAAAATCAACGATTTTTAATATTTGACCCGATCCGAACTGACCCAAACTTATTCTTTTCTGTAAAAAAAAACCGTTCGGCAATATTCTAGGAGCGCTCAACTGGAAAACCATGGTTTTTAATATTTGACCCACCATGGTTTTTAATATTTGACCTGGTCCGGATGGTCGCGGACTTATTATTTTATGCTAAAATAAACCATTCTGCTATACCCTATGAGTGATCGACCGGGAAACCATGGTTTTTAATATTCGACCTAGTTCGGACGGTCGCGGACTTATTCTTGTATGCCAAAAAAACCATTCTGCTATATTCTATATTCTAGAGCGATCGACCAAAACTAACCTAAACTTATTCTTTTCTGCCAAAATAAACAGCTCCGCTATATTCTAGGAGTGGTCGACCGGAAAACCATGTTTTTTAAAAATCGACACGGCCCGGACGGTACCGGACTTAATAGTTATTTGTTCAAAATAATCCGTTCCGCTTTATTCTATGAGCGATCGACCGGAAAACCATGATTTTTAAAAATCGACCCTTCCCAAACGGTCCCGGACTTAATAATTATTTGTTCAAAATAATCCGTTCCACTTTATTCTATGCGTGGTCGACCGGAAAACCATGTTTTATAAAAATCGACCCGGTCTCCCGGACTTAATTTTTTATCTGTCCAAAATAAACAGTTCCGCTTTATTCTATGAAGGATCTGCCGGAAAACTATGTTTCTAAAAATCGACCCGGTTGGGAAATATAGATAATTCGGCATCATGCGGAGATAAAAAGTTCTGTTAGACGGTTATTAGCTATTCTAAATCCGCGGCTAAAAAAACAGATAACTCGGCATCATGCGGAGGTACAAAACGTTGATCTCGGGATTAGTTTAACTTATATAGGAAACAATAGTACGATCCATCTGACCAACGAAAATAATCAGACTATTACTACTATAAACACCGATAATCCTCAGCGTCGGGCGCCTACACGCGCCGCTGCCACGTGGCCCCACCACGCGTGTCCGTACGCCGCCACGTGTCCACCAACAATTTTTTTCATCTAGTATACTCGTGATGTTGCACTAAGTATAGATTAAATGTTACAATGAATTGAAACATTCTTTTGCAACAAAATCACCCACATAATCCATCTATCAAGGGAATTCGTTTTATTTCTTGTTCCACCAAAAATATTTCACCTAGTGTACTCAAAATATTTTACTATATATAGATCTAATGTTGCAATGAATTGAAACATTCTTTTACTATTTGCTGAAAATTGTTTTTATAAAAGGTGAAATAGCGCACGATTTTAAAAGATTGAAACATTTTCTATCTACTTAGTGAAATAATTCCAGTATACTTGGTGGAACAACGTGCAATATTTATAAATAATTCAATAATAAGCTATTTTTTCATCGGAATATATCCATATATGGTCTTGTTTTAAAGATTTAATTGCAACAAATTTAATGGTGCAATTGGATCATGATTTGGATAAATAATTTAAGAGAAAAAATAGTTTAAAATAGTTTTGCACACATGCGTCATGCTGACATCAGCATGACGTGGGCGCCCGATTTTTCCACTCCCCGTCAGGCACCCGACGCCTGGACTTCTGCTAAAAACACGCATCAATCTGGCAGTTGGTTATTAGCTTTATCTATTACTAAATCTGCAGCAACAGAAAAAAAACAGAAAGGCAACCGAGCAACGACACAAAAGGCATTCTTTCTCCTGTCTTCGGTGCACATCCGTTCTTATTTTCTCCTCTCTTCTTCTCACAATATTTTGCATCTTCATTCACCATCATGGATCCCTTGACCGGTCCATCACCACCATCTGCATAGAGGCGTCAATCGCAGTAATTTTCTACGGTTAATACGGGTGAAGATGACAGTCCTGCTCTCAACTCTACAGCAAAGACGCATCTTAAGGTATTTGTAATTACTTTTGTATAATTACTATCGATTCACGATACATGACCCCAGTTAGATCCAATAGCCATGTAGATGTATAGCCATATATACATGCACCAAATAGTTTTTCTAGAAAACCAACTAATTAAAAAAAACCTAGAAAAATAGGGAATAGTTTTTGTCGAACGTTCGTTGGCGGCGGCGCTGCTGCGGCCAGCTAGACGGAGGCCTGCATATCCCACGGAATGCCTTGGCGCTTGAACAGCTAAACCCTTTTCATGTGACCCTAATTTTGCCGCACGCTGATAAAGCCCATCAAAGCTGCGGTCTGCAGCCGTTTCCTCGCCAGCAGCACCACAGTTGTGACCGTAGTGCTTCACATACTACATTCTATTTCATCTATTAATTAGTGATCACATAAATACATACTAGCTAAGTGACACAATTCAGTAGTAATAACTTATGTAAGCACATTCCATTATTATATCGCACCGTTTTAATTTCATTCACATTATGAATTCACAAAAAGAACAGATTTGACCAATATACTCATCAGTATAGGGCACATGAAAACTTCAGTTCCAGTTGTCCTGAAAATGCAGTTCCTGAATGTAAAGTTACAGATTAAAAATGCTCAAGCATGTGCTACCTACACTGTTTTGACCAAAAGCCGTTTTAACACACAATATTATGTGTACTGCCTATTGATTTCAGTTTGCATCTTGCTTCAACTAAGCCGTTGATTTCTTTTTTCTTCAAGTGCAGCTAGATGATTTATCATGTGCCGATGAAAACATGTCAGCCATGTTTAATGTGCTGAAGAAGAAAAAATCTGCAAGGCTTGAAAACCTAGTGTTGTATAGAACATATGTACTTTGTCATCCCTTGTTTATGCTGGAATGGTAGAAATAACTTTGAATGATGGGAGCCATCATATTGTATGTAAGTGTCTCATTAGTTGTTCTTTATTTCTGTTGCTGCAAATCTGTGTAGTCCTCATCCCTAAGAAATATCTCCTATCGGTATACGCTGCGGCCCACTTTTCCCTTAGTGCATACATCATGGCTAACCATAACTCCTTCTCCGGTACATTATCACTGTTTTTAAAGGCACACCATCGTCTCTCAAATTCATCGGCCATCATTACTTCGTAGATGAGTCTACGAAATTCAGTGAGCGCATCCCCACGGAGATGGCGTTTTGCGTTCTCCTCAATTAATATGCCATGTACATAACCGATGATCTGTATCAGGACAGACCTTGGCAATGGCATTTGCCATGGAAAGGTCCCAATCGGTGATAAACGATTTAGGGCACTTGCCACCCATCGCCTTAATAAAGGTCTCCAGCAGCCACACATATGAAGAAACCGTCTCATTTGAAAGACAACACCCAAAGACAACCATGCTACGGTGATGGTTTACACCAATAAAAGGAACAAAAGGAAGGTTGTACGGTTGACATGGTAAGTGGCGTCAAAAACCACAACACCTCCAAATGCATCATAGTCGATCCAAGATTGTGCATTGGCCCAGAACATATTCTTTAGATGACCTCCGGTATCAGTATTGTACTAAAAGAAAAATTCTGCTTCTCTTTCCTCTGTTCATTCAAAAGGCTCAGTGCAAATTGAGCGTCCATACCCTCAATTCTTTCTTTTTTGTAACGAGCAATGAAGTTGTACAAGTCCCAAGACAAACCCAACCTGATCATAACCACCATGATTCTTCTCCATGACGTCCATTATATTGCATGTACGAAGGCCACAGACCCCAAGTTCTACAACCTCAGCCTTTTGAGCATCACTTAGATTCCGATGGGATCGTAAGAATGCAACTTGGTCATGCTTTGCAAGTGGGTGCACGTGACCATCATTGAAATCTTTAACAAACCAAATCCCCGTCTCCTCATTCAACTGTATCTGAAGTTTGGCCTCACATCCGCAACGTGTCAGGCCCTTGGCTCCCTAATTTGGTCTGTTCTTTCAAAGTATTTCAACAACCTATAGCCTTCATATGAGCAACATGAATGCCTCCATACCACCTTACCATCTCCATTGTACGTAACATTGTCCTTTCTGATGCTAAAACCTTTCGACCAAGCATAATCATTATAGAACTTATATCCTTCTGCCTCGCTTCTAAACTCCTTGGTTATCACACTCTCATGCTCTGCAATCTCCTCCAAACTAATGTGATTGCCAGCCATGCCAAAATTCTACAATTCATATTTTCAAAATTCAACAATAAGTCAAACCACGTAATTTAATACTACCAAAATGTACTTTTATGGAAGTAAAATACTCAGATTTATTTTTCAACTGAAGAATTGAACAATATGCATGTGCGCATCGATCCACCGGCGCATATGCATATGCATGCAGCGGTCTAGTGAGCATAAGAATGCAGTATGTATACTACTACCACTATACACTATACATACAGCTGCATGCTAATTAATCTGCCCTGCCGCATGAGTCCACTACATGGACACGGAATCAATTAGCTTTCATCATATTGAACTAGTACCAACACTGTCAGCTGATGCATGGTCGATCGACATTAAGTAATTAAGGGTTAATTTGGTTGGCGGCAGCGGTCGATGTCATGGTGTCGTGCATGCAGAAATGCAGAAATGGATCATTACACAAGACATTTAAATGCAAATAATCAAAGCTGAAGCTGTAAGTGTTGTAGAAACCCAAATCAATGCCAAACAAGTCACCAGATACTTGGGTATTCTTGCTATCATCATGAATGAAATAAAATGTAGCTTGAGATCAAGATATGAAATTTAATGGGTGTTCAAGTAGTGCAACTGACATGATGGGTGAGTGAAAGTTAATGGGTGTTCAAATAGAAGAAAACCTCATTCTCCGACATGATGAGCAATGGGCATTACTGTTTAGTTGTGGTCTTGTGGGTGGAGAACAGATTAGATATTTGGGGCAGTAAATATAGTATAACATTAAGACTCCCTTCCATTTCAATAGTTACAGGCAGGCTAGAAAAGATAAATCCTTAAGGAAATTATTGAATAATGTAAATTATATAGAAAGTGAGTCAGCACAACAGTTAGCAAATCCAATCAGAGCACAGCACCCAATATACCCATAAAAAATCAAACTTGGAATTCTTAAATAAAGCCAATTTTATTTTATGCATGTTAACATTTCAATTTCCACATACTGATATGGGAGAATCCAACTAGGGCATGAACTACTTTTTTTCTCTAGACTTTAATTTCCATTGAATATATCCGAGATTCTCTTTCAGCAACATTTCATTCCATTGTGGCAGCTAAAAGACAAAACACTAACTCAGTAATAAACTTTAGGAAACATAAGTATATATTCGTATGTCATAAGCTATTCATATCATTCTGTTATAACTTCCATAATACAAAACAAGCACCTACAAAATTGGCTTTCTCAGTACATTTAATAGAAATGGAAAGGCAAAAACATCATAGCAAATCTGAAACATCCTTATAACTTATTTAAACTGTATAACCACGAGAATCCAGTTTGTGAGTATACTTTAAGCTCTGTTGAACACATTATAACATCATAATATTGTATTCACATGTCTCCACAAAACACCATAAAACACATCATCATAATACATGATCTATTTAAGTTGAGAAAATAATCTACAGAACCAAAAGCTGGTCTGCACCTGAATTGCCAGCATCACTTGTTTCAATCCCACATGACAGAATGAGCAGCACGCATGTTTATTGTACTATAAAAAATTGCACTCTACTTATCAAAACCCAAGACATCATAACCTACTCTCATTCTTCAGTAAAATTAGCAACCAGAAATTAAATGTGAATCCCACAAAGGAATTTAACCTTCTCACATCACAAGAACGTGCATATAATTTCACATTCAAAAGTTGCAAAATATTATATCCCTATGAATTAAATTCATTCTTCCAATATAACAAGCAAGATGTACACCTCAGAACAAGTAACAATGAGTGTAACTCATCAATAGAGGCAGTTTATTAATAGCACCGTATTGGGTTCAGGAATGATCTCCTCAGGATCCTAAGGCCATTCCCAACCAAAATGTACTGCTACATTACCTGAAACAAATGGAGAGTTGGCGATGACTGCGAATCCAAATCAGAAAATCTTGATGCCTAAGGTGGACGGGACTGGAGGACGACACCGGCAACTACTTGGTTTCGTGGCGGGGCCGCGTAGGGGTGGGTGAAAAGGGAGCGGCGGCGCGGTGGAGCCAAAGGGAGGGGCACCGCGGCCGCGCGAGGGTGGAGGGGCGGCACTGCGGCGTGAGAGGGGAGGGACGCCGCGGCCACGCGAAGGTGGCGGGGCAGCGCGCCGGCGCACTGGGACGGAGGAGATGGAGGCGCAACAACGAGACGAGTGAAGGGGCACCTTAATCGGTCTAGCGATAGAGATTGGAACGCGAAAATACGGTAATACCCTTCCACCAAAAAAAGAGAAGGACAAAAATACCCCCAAAAATTAACGGTCAGATGTGATTCTACTACACTACTACACGCAGAGGCGTGAGCTGTGTGTTTCTTCGGTCCCATGTACTATCAAACTACTCCTGTTAACAAATTTCTGCAATCATATATAAGTTAATCTCCTCAACTCAATGTAAATTTAACGAATCTTACACCAAGATTTCAAGAACAACAAAGATCATGAGAATAAACTACCGATTATTCATTATAATTGACAACTCATGAAAAAATCGACAGAATAAACCACCGATTTCATACACTTGGCTAGTCCATGAAAAAAGTCATCAGGATAAACCACCGATTTTATACACCTCAATACTCCATGAAAAAAAATCATTAGGATAAACCACGCATTTCATATGCTTGACTACTACATGAAAAATTCATCGGGATGAACCACCAATTTCATCCACTTGACTATGACTACTCCATGGAAAAAATCATCAGGATAGACCACCGATTTCATTCGCTTCACTACTATGTTGGTATTTCTTACGATCACATATAAGATTCGCAAGCGCACGGATATACCGATATAGCACTTCACCTACGGAGTATTCCAAGGGTATCTAATCCAAGGGAACGTGTGTGATTATCTTCTCGTCAGGTTCATCCAAGGATACAAAGTTAATGTGGGCAGAGGGCAGAGAGGATTTCCTAATGAGAAACAGTGTATAGGGAAAGCTTAACTTTAATCCTAATGCAATACTTCAGGCACTGGCAACCCGCTGTTCTCAGATGTCGCTCTACTACGTACCCGGACAGGGAGGATTTAAGTGCTCTTGAGGGCTATCACCACCTCTACACCCACCTCAAACGTATTGTGGGATACGCAGCAACCACTAGAGATTAATTACCCAGACACTACATCAACGCAATTAAAAACTACTCTAGTGCCGATCAAACACTAAAACAATCACTATAAATAAATGGACTATAGTGAACAATGACCCCGTATGCTAATTAGGAACTAACCAAGAAGTAATTCTCACTAAGCAAACCTTAATTACTCATAATGTTATTTTTATTAAAGCAGAGTAATTAACAAGATACAAAAGTAAGAGGAGATTACCGACAACTCCGGGATTCCTCAGATTCCTTCTACCTTACTATCTCCCTATTCTAATATACAATAAAGTACACTAGAGCTTTTTGTAATTCAGCTCATGCTTTGCTGTGTGTGAATGAGGGAGAGGAAAGGGGTATTTATAGGTGGAGAGTTACCTTGGGAGAGTGGAGATGCTCCAAGCATCCTTTGAGCATATTCCTTCTAGCTTCATCTCCTCTTGACAAGTGTCCTCTCTATGACAGTTTCCACCGGTAGAAACGGCCACAACCGTCATTGAAATGAGGAGTACAACCGTCATACCGAATATGGGCTAGACTGGGCCAGCTGGGTGTTCGGTCGAACCCCTGAACCAGGGGTTCGGCCGAACCCTGGTTGGCTCCCCTGGCCCACATCCTTCTTCAGGATGCTAACATGTGGGCCCCACTTTATGGTACTCCATGTTTTGGCTCCAAATGATTGCACATTTTATATGTTGTAGCTCAAAACCATGTGAGTCCATCAGCGCAAAATATATTTCCATTCTTTATTCTCATTCTCTCCCAACTTTGGTGGTTGATCACCTGCATACAAATATACACAAACACTCGTGAAAATTGTTAGAAATAAATCCTACCACTATGTTGGATGTTTCACATTTATGGTTTTATGCAGGTATTGACGACGTTATTTTGGCACTTAACAGCCGTCAACATACTATACAAAAATTCATCAGGATAAACCACCGATTTCATCCACTTGACTACTCCATAATAAATCATCAGAATAACAAACGATTTCAAGAACAGATCGTCAACAATGAACTCCCGGCGTACGAGTTCTACTGCTACCGAGGAAAGGTGGGAAACACAGTGAAATATCACCTGCTGAACGGGCTCAGACAAGGAGGCACAGCCGCGTCAATGGAGAGGCGTCGCGGCAATGGACGCGCGGGTGGAGAGTCGGAGTTATCGGTGAAGAGGCGGCAGTGGCGGAGGTGCACGGGAAGAACCGGAGGCGTCAACGACCAAGAATGGGGGCGTTTGTTGATGCAATCACGCGCGGAGGTCGTCCTCGCACGCGAAACAGGAAATAGCGCCGATGGAGTTGTCGACGGCGAGGTGGCAGCTACGGAGTTGGTGGAGAGCGTGTCGCGCGCGTTGCCGATGGTGAAGGCCGATGCTGTTGTGCGGAGAAAATGGACATTAAGCCATTCTCAAAACGTGGTTCCGCTAGAATGCCATCCTGAAACAACAATTCGCTAAAATGCCAATTTGGGCCGCGCACACACTGCTACTTTGCCATTTTCTCCCTTTTAGCCATTTTCCATTCCATTTTCGAAAATGCAGAGGATGGGGAGAAGATTTTGCCCCTGCTCAGTGGCTAAAGGGGATCGAGATCCAGCTGGGTGTGAGTTCATCTCTCTCTCCGTCTGCTCTCTTTCATCCTTGCTCGTCGGCGACGGAGTCGATTAGACTGTGGAGGAGCAGAGGGTGCGGCGTAGAAGGAGCTCACCGTCGGCGTCACCCGCATGTAGGCGTCGCCGGCCATCTGTGAGTATGGAGTGCACTTGGCAATAGCTACTCGGCGGGTAAGTGATTCAATCCTAAAATTTGTTGGTCGATTTGCATTTTCTTGCTGCGATTGATGGGCGAGTTCGTTGTAGTTTGTGCATCATTTAATTTTGTTTAACTTGCGTCCCTTTTTTTATCTTATTAGGCTCGAGGAGGAGCCTGAGCGTAGTTTAGCCGTGGTAGATCCTGATGCAGGAGTGGTAGATGCTGAAGCGGGTGTGGATCCCGTTTTGTATGTCTCACCTGAGGGGGTTGTTGAAGCAGAGCCACCTCCGGTCGGTCAAGGCCACGATGTTGCCCCTGCTTTTGTGGATTGGGATAGCCTAGATATTTTGGCCAGGAATGAGGAAGAAGGGAGGTTTGAAATAGTGGATGACAACGGGTTTTATGAGTTGTTGGGATTGAGGGCTGAGGATGAGCAAGCAGAGAGGGATAGGCAGGCTGCGGCTACTGCTGGTGTTGCTAATGCTGATGGAGGAGGTGGAGTCCCTGATGCTGATGGAAGAGGTGGAGCCCCTGATGCAAATGGTGAAAGAGGAGGTGTTGATGATAGCATTGATGCTGCAATTCCAGTTGATGATAGCATTCTAGGAGAAAGGGTGATGGCATATGACCCTGATAACCCTTGCATGGATCTTGGTAGAATATACCCTAACATGGAGGAGTTTAGATTGGCTATGAGGCAGTTTGCTATCAACAAAGAGTTTGAATTGGATGTGGTGAGACTGACCCAACAAGGTATATAAGGGGATGTAAAGTGGAAGGTTGTGTTTGGCATATTGTTGGAAGTAGGCAGGCTGACATGAAGATAATTAAGGTTGATATAAATACTTTGATTGCACACTGTGATATGTAAACTTCTTGCATTACTTATAATGTATTGCTTTCTTTCAATTGATGCAGGTGACTTTGTTGAGGGATTATCATACCTGTACATCTAGTAGCATGAGGAGGACCACTACTGCAACTAGTAAATGGGTAGCTTCAAAGGCAGTTAAAATTATGAAGAATAATCCAGGTATGGGCCCTAAAAGCTTATAGACTAGGTTGCAAGAATATCACAAATGCACAATTAATTATGACACTGTATGTAAGGGTAGGCAAAGGGCAATGTTGGAGTTGTATGGATCATGGGAAGAAAGCTTCCACATGCTATTTAGATGGAGGGCACAAGTGTTAAGCACTTCACCTGGTAGTGTTGTAGAGATTGACATAATTACATAAAGGAGGTTGATGGTAAAGCATACTTCAATAGATTTTTTTTTGTGCCCTTAAGCCTTGCATTGATGGGTTCTTAGAGGGTTGTAGGCCATACATTAGTGTAGACTCCACGGCTCTGAATGGTAAGTGGCCTGGACATTTAGCTGCTGCTACAAGTATAGATGGGCATACTTGGATGTATCCTTTAGCTATTGGTTTCATAGATGCAGAAACTGAAGATAATTGTGAATGGTTCATGAGACAGTTACATAAGGCTATAGGAGATGTTAATCCATTAGCTATTTGTACTGATGCTTGCAAAGGGTTGGAGAAAGTTGTACATATTGTATTTGAGTATGCTGAGCAGAGGGAATGTTTCTGGCATTTAATGAAAAACTTTGTGAAAAGATTTGGTGGTGATGGTCACTCTCACATGTACCCAACAGCTAGATCATATAGGAGAACAGTGTGGCAAGAACACATCTAGCATGTAATAGCATGCCCTTGTGTGCTAGAGTGGCTTGAGACATACCATCCATTGAAGTGGATGAGAAGTGCTTTCAACCCTGCAATTAAGTGTGACTACATCACCAATAACCTTGCAGAGAGCTTCAATAACTGGATTAAAGATTACAAAGAATTGTCTGTATGTGAGTTAGTTGACAAGTATAGGGAACTAGTCATGGTCCTATGGAACAAGAGAATGAGGATATCAGAAAAAAAAAGCAGGGGAAAATACTACCTGCAGTGACACAACAGTTAAAGGCAATGACTAGGGGTCTGGGCCACCTATGAGTGGTTAAAGCTTATTGTTTCACAGCTGAAGTTGTTGACAATAGCACAACTCATGGGAAGTACATTGTGAAAGCTTGCTTGCAGTATTGTTCATGTGAAGAATGGCAGCATATAGGGAAGCCATTCCAACATGCACTTGCTTTGATTACTGCACAACAGAGTAGGGATGTGAATATTGAAGACTTTGTGAATCCCTATTACCTAGTGCAGATGTTTAAAAATGCATACAAGAGAGTGATTGAACCTTTGGTGACAGA